CTTTTGTGAAATACAAAATGCTTTCCCTCTATTTGATGGAAATATAGAGCGGGATGGCCGCGTTTTTTAGTCCTGATATAATTTCTTTCTTAGGATGACAACAACGCACTTCTATACATAACAGTAGAGGGAGTGAGCGTTGTCACTCAAGGATAAGAGGTGTGTTACTGGCAAGTTTTCAAGTTAAAAATTAAGTAAAAAAAAAGTCTGAAAAAAGAAAAATGTATTTAACCGCCACATCTAAGGACTAGTAAGATGCAATATATTAGATTTTAGTTTTTTAGGTTTAGTTATTCTTTAATTTAACCTATACCTGACTACATTTTCTATTCTTAAACACTAGTAAAAAAAAAGGAGAAACAGTGGAATAAAAAAAAGGATCTCTGGGTTTAGCTGGTTCTTTTTTTTTCGCCATCACATTTTTCATATAACCAAGGAAGTGTTAAGGATGTGGCCATGTCTAAATATTTTGTACTATAAGGTGTCCCTCTTTTCCATCTGAGAACGATGGGAGGTATGGCATTTATACGTTCAGTCAAACAACTATGCATGCCTGGATAGTAGAGATAAAAGAGCGATACGTCTTTTATAGCAGATATCACAGATTATCCGAGAAATTCAAACATTGTACTCTATAGCATAGCTTTAATACAGAGATTTCTTTGCGATTCCATAAAACAACCTTTGTGCGTCAGATCACTGTGAGCGTACAGAGGCCGTGTTCTGCTGACTGGAGCTTTTTGTGAAACGATCCTAGCCTGAAGCTTGAGCAAGTCAATGGATCAGAGTACTCACCCAAATGACATTTATAATGTGTGCTGGATTTTTCTTGCAGAAACTGCAACGGGCTATTCAGTAAACCATATCCTGCATCTGCATGACGTCTATACATACAATTGGACATATTGTAGTATGGCAGGATTTGGCTCTGCATTGAGGTGATTGTAAACCTCAGACATGAAATATGAACATATCCTTCTATAGGGAAATATCCCTCTATAGTGTGTACTTGTCTCAATCCAGCGCACTAAAGCAGGCCATAGACAGACTGAAATTCTTCCAGTTCTCAGAAATTCTCCTGATTGAAATTCTTCCAGTTCCCGGAAATTCTCCCGGACCGAATTTCAATCCATCTATGTGAAGGCTGGCTGTATCGAAGTCAGTCTATCGATCAACTTCAGTTTAACCAGCCTGTTTTTTTTATTCTATTATTACAAGGATCATTGTACTTTATTTCCTTCAACCCATGTTTTTGAGGGGCTCCCATTTTAAAATCTGTGATGCTGATCCTGTGTTACAAGTCATGCATACAAAATAACCCTCTAAAGCACTGTCTGTTTATGCTGGGAACTCAGTGTGCTCTCATCCAATGATCAGACTTGCCTTGACCCCCCCACACACACACACAGCTATTCACTGGGAAGACTAGTGTGCTGCTGTTTCTATTCCCCCAGATCTCTATGCAACTAAGAACAGAGGGTATGTGATCACTTCTAAAAAAGGGGGAAAAAAACAGTGCTTATAATTTTTTTATATCTATACACAAATGTTTTTCCTTTCACTTTTATTTTAAACTGTATGTTGTTTTGCAAGCTGATGGTTAACATATACTTTAAATACTTTAATATATTTACCATATACTTTAAATGCGGTTGATCTGTGCAATAAAGAACAATGATCAGTATCATATGGTATAAGCTGGGTGAAGTACCCATGGTAAAGATACCAGAGACAATAGAGCTCTCCCTTTGTGGAGATCACGTAAAAATAGATGTCAGTAATAAATACTAGGAATATTTAAAATTGCAAATATTGTTTTGTGATGGAATTTATAACTAAATTAATGTTTTGTTTTATATATATATATATATATATATATATATATATATATATATATATATATATATATATATATATATACACACACACACACACACACACTGTATCTACTGTATATGTGCTGGCCAAGAATTTCACTTTAAAATGACTGCACAACTGACAGCGTGTCAAACTGTCCATGCTCCGCGCTGTACATTGAGCGTTGTATAGCACAGTTTCCAGTTTTTGAATGCTTTGCAAAACATGATACTGCTGCGCTGCAATTAATCTGTGCAGTGAGCACTTTCCAGGAGTGGTGCTATCCAACATGAGAGCCATGGCGTACAACACACCTCAGCAAAAAGATGCTGCATATGAATAGGGATGCATTAAAGGTATATGGAAGTCATAAGGCAAATGTATGAAGCAATAAATGATGGATTTGCCATTCATTTGCCAATTTTTCATAAACAATCGATTTTGTCGAGCAGGGGAGCCCACACAGTGACCAACTTTTGTCGAGCAGGGGAACCCATACAGTGACCAAAATTGGTGGACCAACTGCATATTGATAAATATATGGCCAGCTATAGTCACAAAATATTACACTGTAGGAAAAATGGAAAATATAAAAAAAAATATGTGTTTGGCTCATTGTTCATTTATCATTTTAACACATATGGTTGAATGGTATCTAAAGCTTAGAGGCAATAGTGATACTGTCTATGTGATTTATTTGAAAAATAAAAGCAGGTAGTTGATTGGCTAATATGGTAACACCTCCATTGTCTTTGACCTACAAATATCTCATTATCAAAACATATTATATGAAATATCCAAAATTAAAAAATGTTTTTTAAAATGTTCCAGCTAGAGTTGAATGTTAGTTCCCCAAACGTAGGAGTGCTAAAGACATGTTAAGGAATATACTGTATAGCCATTTTAATGTAATTAGTTCCTAGCTACATTTTTAATACATCTGGCTACCTGCTGGAAAATATACTTACAGTGAGAATGTGCTCTTTAATATGTGACTGTGAAAGTGAATTTTTATTTACCTTAATGAATGGGGTGAGACACAGTGAAAATTCACTTTGCAAAGAATACCCAATTATGTGCAAGGAAAATTTACAAAAAACAGGATTTTTGTTTGCACGTGATTGGATGCTTGAATCATGTGCAAACCACTTGTCTATCATGGCAATTTTGTAATTTTGTTGCGGCGTGTTAAAAAATTACTGAAATTACTGAAACCCCCCTAAAAGTATATATTTTCTGAAAGCAGAGACTCTGGAGGATAAAATAGTGGAAGTCACAATACTTGTATGTTGCACAATATTGTTTCTGAAATGCATATTTTTCAGGAAAAATACACTAAAATTAATGCTGTTGCAAACAAACAAACACAATTATACCTATTTTGTTTGTAAAATATAAAGGATTGGGTTGTGTTGAGTAAAAAGATACTAAACATGTCAAGCCTTAAAAATGTACATGCCGGAGAAATCTCAAAAAATAATGGTACCTAAAATTCTCCATAAATGACGCTTTAAAAGCCTTTACAACTTATCAGTTTAAAGATAAACCATAAATTATGGCCCTAAAATTATTGATCTCATGTCAACGTTTGTGATGATATCTCAGATAAATGTGCACACCCTATGCTATGACAGGGGTGCTTTAAACATTTTTTTAAATTATTTTTTGTATATATGATTTTTTTTACACTTTTTTATTTATTTAAAATAAAACACAAAAAAAAATTTAAAAAAACTTTAGCACCAACCTGATCACTTTTATCAGAAAGCCTTTCGCTGGATATTAAAGCCGTTACCAAACTTACACCTACAGCAGCAGCTGTGAGCTTGGTGTAACCACGTGTCTGCCATTCTGTTTATCAACCTACCTTGGTAGACAAGTGGGTAAACTAAGTGAGTTCTCCCTTTGCAAAGTGATTTTTTTTCTTGCACACCTGTGTGTAATCTTTGCAAAGATAATGTCGACTTTGTTTCACCTCATTTACGAAGATAAGTGAAAATTCACATTACAGAGTGAAAATTTATTCTAACAGTGATTACACTCTACTCCTTAAAAAACAATGTGTGGTACCAGACTCCAACCCCCTCCATTTCCTGCAATTGAACCTTTTTTTTTTTACTGCTTTTCATCAGCAGTTACTTCTGGTTCATGCATATATATACTTGAAGTGTTTGGTGCAGCCGTCACATCTGGTATGCAGTGTGGAGTAGCAGGAAGGGGAGCGGGGTCCGGACTAGAGCGGGGTCCTGACTGGAGCGGAGCAACCAGCAGATGGCACACGTGGTGTGCAACATGGGAACACTATAGCAGAAGGTGAGCGGGGACCAGAGAAAGAACTGAGCAGTGGAGGATCAGCATAGCTGACAGACCCAATCAGGACAAGCTAGTAACGTCACACTAGATATGTGGTGCACAGATTGGGAGCAATATAGCGGGAGGTGCACGGGGACCAGAGAGTGAGGAGAATCAGCAAACCAGAGGATCAGCGGAGCTGGGGGTTACTACTGAGCGGGGTATCAGAATATCTGGGGGTCCTACTAACCAGGGGATCAGCAGATCTGGGGGATACGCCTGAGCAGGGGATCAGCAAAGCTGGGGGTACAACTGAATGGGGCATTCGCAGTGCTTTGGTTACTACTGAGCAGGGCATCTGCTGAAGGAGGGTTGTAATAAACTGGGAATCTGCTGAACAAGGGTACTAATGAGCTTGGGATCTGCTGAGTGGGGGTACTACTGAGCTGGGGGTCTACTAGGTCCCTTTAAAGCAAACAGAAAATCAACACAAATACACACACACACACACACACACACACACACAGCATTTGCCAAGCTTCATTAAAACTTCAAAAAAGCATCAATGAAGCATCACAGAAGCACCAAAAACACATTAAACCACTAGACTACAGGGCACTTATACCCTCTTCCTGCCCAGGCCAATTTCCAGCTTTCAGCGCTGTCACACTTTGAAGGACAGTTGCACGGTCATGCAACGCTGTACCCATATGAAATTTTTATCATTTTTTGTGACAGATAGAGCTTTATTTTGGTGGTGTTTAATCACCTCTGGGCTTTTTATTTTTTCTTAAATAAACCAAAAATCACTGAAAATTTTGAAAAAAAAAAAAGTTTTTTCTTAGTTTTTGTTATAAAATGTTGTAAATAAGTGATTTTTCTCCTTCACTGATGAGCGCTAATGAGGCTGCAGTGATGGGCACTGATAGGCTGCACTGATGGACACTGATAGGTGGCACTGATGGGCACTGATGAGGAGGCACTGGTAGGTGGCACTTATGGGCATTGATAGGCATCACTGATGGGCTCTGAAAGGCAACACTCATATGTGGCACCGATAGGTGGCACTGACTGACACTGATAGGCGGCACTGACTGGCACTGTTAGGTGGCACTGACTGGCACTGTTAGGTGGCACTGACGGGCACTGATAGACAGCACTGACTGGCACTGATAGGCAGCACTGACTGGCACTGATAGGCGACACTGACTGGCACTGATAGGCGACACTGACTGGCACTGATAGGTAGCACTGATTGGCAGCACTGATAGGTGGCACTGACTGGAGCTTGTGAAGAGAGAAATGCCGATAACTGGCATTTCCCTATTTACATGCGATCAGCTGTGATTGGACACAGCTGATCACATGACTGAGCTGACATCTTCGGCTCTTTCCGTTGATCAGTGATCCGCTGTGTCTGAGGGACACAGCACACCACTGATCGCTGTGCTGCGCACTGCTGGAGCTGCGCATGTGCGGTTAGAATGGGACGACGAGAAAACCGCTTTGCACCTGTCATTTCACTATATGGCGGGCGGGAGGCGGTTAAAAAAGCATGGGTACTTTAACCGCACGTGTGCGGCCATTGGAGGGGCTCTACCCGCGCTGCCACGACTGTCAATCACCGGGTCCCAGCTAGTGATTACTCGCTGACACCCGGTGATCGCCAAGTATTACCGATGGGGGAGAGAACTGTATGTAAACAATACAGTTCTCTCCCCTGTCAGCTCCTGCACACTGCTTTGTATGGCTCTGCATAGCAGAGTGGACAGTGGAAAGCACACACACAGCCTCATAGTAAAATAACACACAATTAACCATTTGATCGCCCCAGGTGTTAACCTCTTCCTGCCCAGTGCCATTAGTACAGTGTAAGTGCTTTTTATTTGCTCTAATTACTGTATTGGTGTCTCTGGTGATGATGTCAGTGACACCAAATCAGTTCCCCCCCCAGTGTCATTATGCCTGCTGCAGTCTCGCTATAAGTCGTTGATTGCTGCCATTACTAGTAAAAAAAAAAAAAAATCCCAGTATATATACCGCCATTTGTAAACGCTATAACTTTCATGCAAACCAATTAATTTACATGTATTGGGATTTTCTTTAGCAAAGACATGTAGCAGAAAACATTTTGGCCTAACTTTATGACGAAATTTGATTTTTAAAATGTTTTTACTGGACATGTTTAATAGCAAAAAGTAAAAAATAATGTGTTTTTCTCAAAATTGTCGGTCTTTTTTTGTTTATAGCGCACAAAATAAAAAATGCACAGGCGATCAAATACCACCAAAAAAAAGCTCAATTAGTGGAAAAAAAGAACATAAATTTCATTTCGGTGCAGCGTTGCATGACCGCGCAATTGTCAGTTAAAAATAACGCAGCGCCGTAAAGTAAAAAAATGGCCTGGTCAGGATGGGGGGTAATTCGTCTGCAGGGCAAGTGGTTAATTTCGGATGCATTTGCTACATTATGATTCAGAGATTCTGATGGATCCACCTCCAACCAACCCAAACACAATACGTAGGGCAAGTAGTTAATGAGTATTAAAGTCGAAGCAAGTGTAAATGAGCCCTACACAGTGACACAGTGAAGCCATACAAACAGGTGTATTAACACAGACAAGCTGCTGTTTTCCAATATTATTGAACGAAGTTATGGAGTTAATTTAGATACAAGCAGGGCTTTGGCAAAAATCTTCCTTCAGTTTTCTGTAAACCAGCAAAATCCAGGCAGGCAGCCTGAGTCTAGTTTTAGAAGAAGGATTACACAGACCAACACACATTTTGGTGCCTCAAATGTTAGACCTGCTCCTGTGTATATATTATTATTATTATACAGGATTTATATAGTGCCAACAGTTTGCGCAGCGCTTTACAAAATGAAGGTAGACATTACAGTTACAATACAATTTGGTACAAGAGGAAACAGAGGGCCCGGCTCGTTAAAGCTTACAATCTAGGAGGAAGAGTTGAGTGATACAAAAGGTAATAGCTTTGGGGAGATGCGCTGATGGAGGAAATAAATAGCGGTTTACTAGGTAGAAGCAGGATAGACTTCTTTAAAAGAGAAAGGTTCTCAGGGATCGTGTAAAGGTGGATAGATTAGGAGTCAGCCGGACGGACTGGGGTAGGGAGTTCCATAGGATGGGTGAAGCTCGATGGAAGTCTTGGAGGCAAGCATGGGAGGAGGTGACACAGGAACTAGAGAGCAGAAGGTCTTGAGAGGATCAAAGAGAGCGGTTTGGTTGATATTTTGAGACCAGGTTGGTGATGTATATGACCTGCTGATTCCAAAGCTGACACCAATTTTTCCCTATCATTTCAGTTCTAGTGAGATACAGCACGCCATACACCATTCTTCACTCTGGTCATCCATCAAAAATCAGGATATTTTAATGTAATGTTTTATTTAACCTCCCTAGCGGGATGATGATTATTTCAGATTTTTGGTGCTGAAAGCGGTACCATTTTTTTGCATGGAAATATGTATTTTTTTTTATTGTAGGCCTGTAATTTAGGAATAACTCACTGAAATCTGTCCAAACAAGAGTCTAGTAAACATTCTGGATATGATAAAATTTGAAACACGAAATCATAAATTATAATTTAATAAATAATCATAAAAAATAATAATATAATAATAATACATTTAATTAAATAATATAATCCAACCAAAAACACTGAAATTTGAAATATAGCGCCAAGTTCACACATCGCTGAGCAAAGTCGCAGAATCGTTTTCAGTGTCTGATGACGAATTTCCCCACGAATCATTATCACTCAATTCTGCAAGTGGTTCTGATTTACTATCGCTGTTCTCTAGCTGGTCTAAAACCGCTTTTGAAATAAAGGGACGCTTTTTGGACGCCGTGGACTTTTCTAAGTTTCCAGGCAGAAAGAACAGTCAAAATGCAGGCAGGGGACAGGACAAAGCAATAGGGACAAAATGTATGTGAAATGTTTTGAAACAGCAGTTTTACTATGTAATAATCATTTTTAAAAAAAAATGCCTTTTTTTAAAATTTCAAATTTGCCGCCGGTTCTGGCGCCCGTATGTCCCAACATCACAGGGACCGGAACACGGAAGCCGGATGCCGACATCGGCCAGAGGAGATGGCCGGGGACACTGCAGGGGATGCATCGCAGGAGCGAAGGACAAGGTAAGTGCTGCAGGGACTCCCTGTGCAACGCTGCATGGTAAGCCCGAGTGTAGATCGGGGTTACCACTTTTGGTACTGAAACTCTACCCCGAGCTACACTCGGGAATACCACTAGGGAGGTTAATCTCCTTGTAGCAAGAAAGAAACACATAAAAGAGTTGCCATCAGCTTTGCGGTGCTCAATCTGCAAATATGAAACGATATGAGTGGCAATATACACACACCTCTTATATGACCCTTTCTATAATACAGGTAATCTTACACTTTAGAATCCAGTGTTTCCGATGTAAAATCACAGTTGGAAGAAGGTAAACACTCTCACTCTCACTATATCCGCTAACCTGTACGCAAAAACACAAACTTGGTAACAGAAGAACAAGTTGGTCAGCAAGATCTTTTAAAAAAAACTGACAAAAAATTAGGATAGGAATACTTGAAAAAATCGATTGTCTTGTCCTCTGCTTGCAGCAAGCAATTCCACCTCCTACACACACTCTACCTATGAAGAAGTAATTCGACTTAGATTGTAGAAGGGAACTCTTCCAACATGCTCTATCAAGAGAGCCATTAGCAGCCTGGATATGTACAAAGACAACACAAGTGGACAAGGTTGTAGCTGGATGGCAGAATGCCTGGCTTTGTCATGTCTTTCTTAAGAAAGTCCTCAAGGAGAACAAAATGCAAATGAACATTTCATTTCACTTTGCAGAATGTTTTTGTTTTTTATTTTTTTTTATAACATTTGATTTCTACAGGGCTGTGGGGCTACAAAAGTTATGTGATCATAGGGGGCAGCACAATAAAAATGGCCAGGAGCACATAACTATAATTTGGTCTTTGAAATTAGCAAAATGGGGGACCTTTAAAATGACCATATATTTTTTTATAAAAAACAAAAAAAGTCTAAACATTTTCATCTTTTATTAATCAGGGATATTGCATAATAATATATTCATGTAGCAGGTGGAGCTGTATGCTCCTTTTCACCTTTATCCTGCTAATCTAAAAGCGTATCTAAACCCAAGAACAAAATTTGAGAATATTACAGTTTACTGGACCTTAAAAGTGGTGGCTGCATTGTTTTTTTTCCCGCTTTTTTTTTTCCTTTATTTTAACCTGGTGATCCTGCCATTAACTCACTTTCTGACCCAGGGAACCAGCTGTACTGATAAACATCGTCACCCTAGGATAGGGAGTGTATTAAGACTACATAACAGATGTAACAAATTTCAACTGTATATTTAATACGTACATAGACCAAAGAGCAAATAACAAATATAATTTTACTTCAGTTACTTTCTGGTTTCCAGGCCTAGGCAAATGATGTAATACATCCCAGGAGTCTTCAGGAGGAGAGGAGGGAGTTTCTCAGTTAAGCACATCCTCAAGTAAAGCCTGAGCTAAGGGCAGATGGATTCCAGGAAGTAAATGCTACAAGAATCATCTACTCTTACTCAAGATGGCAACTGCCAGAGGTGCTAGGGGAGTGTTTTTCAAACTGAATTCTCAGCAAGATAAAGTATGGAGACATGGATGGATGGGTGAGTTTGCTTTGAATATATAAAATTATTAAATAGTATTTTAGGTGCTTTGTGGTGCTCAGATACAGTTTACTTCCAGATAAAGACCCTGTTAGTACACAAAAATATTTGGTTGTCTACTAGGAATGCACCCAGTTATTAAGTCTTCTTGTGGCCTGACAAAAGATTTTGTGTGCTACATGGTGTCTACTTATCCCTTTAACACAATATAGAGACCTACTTTGCACTAGAAAATTTCTGTTTACAGAGCTGAATAGCTCAAGCTCACATTAAACACAAAGCTGAATAATTTAAAACAAATAAACACAAAACTTCATTAAATCTGTGATGTGAAAAGGAGGTTTGTGAAAGTCATACAAGTGGGACTTCTTTGCTCACAACTTAAAAAATTAGAATCCAAAATGGAGCCATAGATGTGTTTTTTTTAATGTCTCTCTATTAACCACCTCCTGTCCGGCCGTTGTATATAAACGGCCAGACGGTCGCACTGCAGGGTCAGGTGGCTGTTTATAAACACACTGATTGTGCGCGCTCCCTGGGAGCGCGCAGCACCGCGATCTGGTG